ATTATTATTATTATTATTATTATTTACTTTTTTACTGGTCGATATGTCAACCACTCTCAGGAATGATTACCAGGTGTGCGGATGCTTTATTGAAGATTCAGGTGGCTTCTAACAATACGGCATGTATTCAAGACATTTGCATATTGTATATATTTCTGGCATCCAAGTAAAGACACTCTAGTTCTCGAAGTGTCATTTTCGGGTTCACTCCTGCGGCAGATATTATTATAGGCACAGTTGTCACTTGGCTGAAGTTCCACTGAGCTGCGACGTCATGGGCGAGATCGGTATACTTCTGGATCTTCTTTTGATATTTTGCCGATATGCTGTAGGTGTTGGGTATTGATATATAGATAAGGAAAACATGCTGATGGTTTCTGTCCATGTAAGTTATGTCGGATCTATTGCCGCCGACTTGTCTGTTAGTGATAATGGAGCGATCCCAGTAAAGTGTGTGCTCTCTACTTTCAAGCACATTCTTTTCAAGCACATATTTATAATACGGCACGGAAGTGGCGAGTAAGCCCGTTCACAATGCCAATAATTGGTGGACCTATTTCGCCACTTCATCAGGCCTCTTTTTGTATTCCAACTGTGCGTGGCTGCTACATCCACTTGTCACGTGTTGGATAGTTTTGCTTGCAGCCTCACATCTTCTACACGAGTCGGAATGAATGGTAGAATCTCTCGGAATGTGTAGTGCGCCACTAGGTCCTGGATAGCTATCATCAAGGCTTCTGTCTCCAGAAAGAGATCCCCGTGCTAGAGCCATGCGTGCGACGCAGAGATGTCGACTTCTGATTTACTCAGCTCATGAGGGTACCTTCCATGCAGTACCATCGCTTTCCATAGGGATATCTTCTCTTCCGTTTCAATGATTGGTTGAACAGGCGGATCAAACTTTTTCAAGTTCAGAGGACTATAGTTATTATCAACTGCGGTCATTGATTGCTGAACTCCCCCACAATGTTCCAGAAAGTATCTTCTGAGTGAAGCAATTTGAGAGCTGTGTATATTTATGAGATCTACAACACCTCGGAACCTTGGACCTTGGAAGGATAAAACGCTCAGTAATTGAATGGGGATGATGTTTTCGGTGTTGAGTCATAGCAGTTCGAATTGTCCTCTGGAGGTTGTCGAGG